GGAGGAGGAGGAGATGGCGGAGGAGGAGGAGGGAGGAGGAGGAGGGAGGAGGAAGAGGAGGAGGTGGAGGAGGAGGACGGGTCGCCGAAGCCCTTCGGAGAAACCTTCCACTGGCCACTCCCCGGAACGCGCCCTGCGCTGCTGGGTGCCGTGCAACTCCAGCGGCCCATGGTCCTGGCGCGCAGACGGGCCCGCGGCCGAGATCGCACCTGTTGCCAGGGCTAAACCTACACGTTGTTTTTCGGTTTGTGTTCGTTTTGTTGTTCGTTTTGCTCGTTTCGTTCGTTTCGTTATAATTTTGTTGTTCGTTTCGTTTTGTGCTGGTGTTCGTAATGTTGTTCCTTTCGTTGTGTTGTAGTGTTTTCTTGGTGTTGTTCGTGTTGTTGTCGTTGTGTCTTATGTTCGTGTATGTTGTTCTGTACCGCCCGGCCACAACAAAACACAGAACACAGCCGACGTCCAGCAACGCAGCGCGTGTAGGTCCAGCCCTGCCTGCTTCCTTTGAGCAGGGACCGACGGTCCCGGCATTCCTGTAGTCCTACCACGCAATGCTCTCAGAACTGAAAAATGTTCTAAGATCAATAACCAAGGATCTTAGAGCATCAACCCGACGAGTTAAATCAAGACAGGCTTGGCCAGACATGTTCTCAGAACATCTCGTGCAAACCACAAACGGTTCTCAGAACATGTTTGGGAAGGCATGTAGGCACGCCAGGGCGCTTCGCCACTGCCCGCGTCCTCGCCCTCCGCGGGGCCCAGGCGGCGGGCAAAACTGGGACTCCTATAGGGATTCCTAAGAACTCCTAAGGATTCCAAAGGATTTTCCAAAGGATTCCTGGGGGATTCCTACGGACTCCTCCAAGGATTCCAAAAGATTGCTAGGCAGTAACATCCGAGGATTCCTAGAATGATTGCCAGGAGTTCCTCAGAATCCCTGAGGATTCCGAACGATTCCTAGGGATTCCTAGGGATCCCTAAGGATTGCTAGGTAGTGAAATCCTTAGGAATCGCGGCCGACTGCGCAGGCTCCTCCTCCTCCTCCTCCCCCCTCCTCCTCCTCCTCCTCCTCCTCCTCCTCCTCCTCCCCCCTCCGGCCGCTGGCGGGCGGGGGCGGCCCCGTCGCTCCCGGAGCGCGCCCCGTCGGCGGCCCCGGCGGCGCCCGCCGCGGGGGCAGCGGGCCGCCGGCGGCCGGCTCCAGGGGACGCCACGAGAGGTGCAGAGAGGGGGCCACGAGCAAAGCCTACATCTCGCCATCGCTCGGACGTCCATTCCCTGTTTTTGTTGTCGGTTTCGTGCGTGTGTTTTTTTTCGCCAAATGATTAAGGATACTCCTCGATGACCCTCGCCGAGGGAAAAATGCACACGTCCGAGCGATGCCAAGTACATAGGGGAACAAAAAGTGGCATAAACATAAAAACTCAGAGGTCCGCGCGGACTTCTCGGATCGGCGCTGGGGCCCCCCGGCGGCGCCTCCGGCGCCGCCCCTGGCGCGCTCCGCGCGCCAGGGAGGGGGGTCCAGCGCCGATCCGAGAAATCCGCGCGGACCTCCGAGTTTTTATGTTTATGCCACTTTTTGTTCCCTTACTTCAGTCGGCCTTGATCGGGCAGGACACGCGAGAGGACACAAGACCCTTCCGAGGGCCACATCGCCACAGGAGTGCGAGAAGGCACGCGTCGCGAGGCACACGACACAAGGGTACCCTTGAGCTGGCAGGGTCGGCCCACTAATCGGTGCAGACTGTACCCACCCACCCCGCGATTTCTGAGGGGGAGGGTGGGGTGCACTTCGCTCGGAAAGTCCCACCCAGGAGCGGTTTCCGAGCGAAGGGAGCCCCACCCTCCCCCGTCAGAAATCGTGGGGGGCGGGGGTGGGGTTCGCACGTGGCCCCCCAGTGCACACAGACATCCACCGACGAGTGTTCCCTGTGCCTCCAAGGGAAGGTGGCGGTGTGTAGAATCGCTGGCTCGCTGGTTCTCATGGTTCGCCTGCCAGAAGTGGCGTGTATGGAGCGAATCGGGAGACTGTCAGGGCGCGCAACGGTTACGCTGACTCGCTCTGCTGGAGTTCAATCAAACAGCAGCAGTCAGATTTATTCGTGGCGTTGCAGTCCCGAGAATGCTGTTTTGGTACGCTTCAAGATCTTCAAACGGTTGTCCCCCAACAGGGCAAAATTCCCCCAATGGAATTGAAACCTTGCAGGGGCCTGTGAAGCGGGAGCTCTGTGGGAGGGCTTTTGCTCCAACATCGTTGATGAGTCTTGGGTTTACACTGGTCCTCCTCCTCCTCCTCCTCCTCCTCCTCCTCCTCCTCCTCCTCGAACTCCCGGACCACGAGCGAAGAGCGAAGAGCCCCCCTCCCCCCCCTCCTACCCTCGCTCCGGCCGGCCGCGCGCGGGGAGGCGGCGGCCCGTCGGGTCGGTCCAGGCCAGGAGCAGCAGCAGGAAGGTGAACAGGAACGCCGAAAACACCGAGCCCAATCTGGCGCGCGGCGCCCGCGTGCCTCCTCCCGCCTCCTCCCCCCTCCTCCCTCCTCCCGCCAGTTCCCCTTCCTCCACTCCTCCTCCTCCTCCTCCTCCTCTCCTCCTGCTCCTCCTGCTCCTCCTCCCTCTCCTCCTCCTCCTCCTCTCCTCCTCCTCTCCTCTCTCCTCCTCCTACCTCTCCTCCTCCTCTCTTACCTCCTCCTCCTCCCTCCTCCTCCTCCTCCTCCTCCTCCTCCTCCTCCTCCTCCTCCCCCTGTTCCTCCTCCTCCCCCTGTTCTTCCTCCTCCTCCCCCTCCTCCTCCTGCTCCTCCTGACAGGTTGAGCAAGAGATATGCGGCAGGGAGTTCCAAACAAAGCGAGACCCGATGGACAATGTGCGTCATACTCATCATGTGCAACATTTACGCTGGACCATTAACCTACTAGCACACGCATCGTATGCAGTCGAGTATTCGGGTCCCAGGGCAATGTGTATCAACACCTTCAGCGAGCCCTTCTAGCGAAAGCATGCCCTTCTCGAGGGACGTTGAATTTTGGAGCAGAACAATCGCCTTTCTCTTTCGACTGTAGGGCTTGCGATTACCGCGCCAACGATGTGGGTAATCTCTGTAAACATTCCGCAACGAGCCACTCGCCGCGCATTGTGGGCCGACGATGTTCTTCCGACACCTCACCAGATGCCAAAGAGGCCATAGAGGAGGACAAGCTGGAGATGCCATCATGGATGCATGTCCCATCATGGGAAAGCCCGCCCAAGCCACGCAAGCTTGCACGGCAGGAGGCGGCAACGTTGGCCAGAGGCGCGAACGCACTACACCAACTGGTGCTACTGATCGCGAAATTGGTGCTGACGGACGGCAGGGCACTTGCAGCAATAACGAGCACCGTGAACAGAACGTACGAGGTCGACGCCAGCATCGGCCTCGCGACGACCATGGATGCCGCGGGGCAGCAATACAAATCGGCGTCGCGGCGCATCAGTGATAAGAGAAAGACAAGCGAGACCGTCCACTGGGTAGAGCGCGGGCCGCCATTTGTTCAGAGATGCATGCAGTCGATGATGTGGGCGGCCAAGCAGACGACGGGGAACGGCCCGCCAGCGTGGGCGAACGTTGTCAACACGATGTGGTGCGAAAGGACCTCGAAGAGGAGCGCGGTGGAGGTGGGCCCGACGGCCCGACGGGTCCTCTCCTGGCGGTGAAAACGCAACAGCGCAAGCAGCCGGAGGGAGGTGGCTGGAATCGGAGACGCAGAGACGCATCGTTTATGCCTTCGACCTCGACTCGCCGTTCGGGGTCGAGCCCAACCATTGGTCAAAAAGATGCCGCTGGGTCTCAAAGCGGAGAGGAAGATCGGACCCGCGCCCAAGAGGCCGCTGGAGAGGGACGCGAGCAAGCGTCTGAAGGAACCCCAACGCGACAGCAGGCGAGGAAGGAAACAGCACACCATGGTGAGCGGCAGGGTACGACGGCTGCACTACAGAGCAGTAGTAACACACAAGCCTTGGCGAACAGCGAAGACAGAGTTCGATGCTCGGGCATCACGGACAGGCATGGGAGCGCCAGGCTAGCGGAACTCGTACATCGTGGTGTAGTGTCAGCAGAAGGTTTGGACCCGAGCCCACACCCATCCCCACGGCTTACGGCCCCAGCATGCCCAGCACCCCTGCTAATAGAACGGGAGGGGGTGCAGCCAGGGCGTAAAAAGGGAAAGGGGGAAGGGAGTGGCAGAGGTCGGTAGCAGCAGTTCGCTGGTCCCCGACGTTGCCCCTCACAGGTTGCGTGCCGACGTGGGAATGCCTGTGGGGGCGGTGCGGCGTCCGTCGAGGGTCACGGGCCACACTTGGGGAGAAGGTGACATCAAGTGTCGACCCCCCCCCCATGAATTCACACTGCCCCACGCACGCTAGATAGATTTCTCGGCCGGCGAAAATCAGCAGCAGACGAACTCTCACAATCCTCCTCCTCCTCCGCCTTTTTGACGCCGGGCGGATCTCAGCGGCGAGGTCGCTGCAAACCTCCTCCTCCCTCCCCTTCCTCCTTCTCCTACTCCTCCGCCTCCTCTTCCTCCGCTTCCTTCTCCTCCTCCTCCTCTTCCTCCTTTTCCATCTCCTCCTCCTCCTCCTCCTCTTCTCCGCCCCATCGTCCTATTATTACGAATAGGCTAAACCGTATGTTTGGATTTAGTATTCGTTGAAATGCGATTACTACCAGTATTGCGCCTACGATAATCATGGCATTGTCGTTAGTTGTATTAGCATCGCTGCTATCATTATTACAACTGGTATCATCACCAATACTGATACCATTAATGCTACCAGTGGTGTTGCTGTTATTATTGTTGGTGGTGCTGTTGTTGGTGTTGTTGGTGGTCCTCCTCCTCCGCCTCCAGATCCTGTTCCTATTCCTGCTCGTCCTCCTCCTCATCCTCCTGTTCCTATTCCTGCTCATCCTCTTCCTCCTCCTCCTCCCCCTCCGTCTCCCTCCTGCCCCCGCTCCTCCTCCTGCTCCCCCTCCTCCTCCTCCTCCTCCTCCTCTCCTCTCCTCCTCCTCCTCCTCCTCCTCCTCGTCCTCCTTGTGCTCCTCGTCATCCTCGTCTTCCGAATCATATACCTATTCCTGTTCCTATTCCTGCTCCTCCTCAGCTCCCCCCCTCCTCGTCCTCCTCCTCCTCGTCCCCCTCCTCCGCCTCCTCTGTCTACTCCTCGTCCTCTTCCCCCGTTCCTTCGGGCCAGGGCGTTTTCCAAAACTGAGAACCGCATCGCACATGGAAGGCGGGTGGGTTCCAAAGTGTGGTTTCGCCATGGCACCGCATACACTTTTTGTTCAAACAGTTTGCATTACGGGTTGAAAGCGGGTCGTTTCCAACATGCGACCTTCACCTTAGCAACACGCGCATTCGTCGTGACACACAGCACGAGATTCACGGAATGAGGGCGGCTCTTTTTCAACATGTGGTGTTCGCGCCAGCGCCGCGCGCACACGTCGTAAACATCGCAAGATCATCACGTATTGATGGCGGGTGGTTTTCAGAATGTGGTTCCCGCCCTAGCGCCGCGCACCCTCGTTTGAAAAGATATCAAATCTTCACAGAATGAGGGCGTTTTGTTACAAAAAATTGTGGCCCACGGTTCAGCGCCGCGCGCATTCGTTTTCAAATAATGCAAAACGTCACGGAACAGGGCGGCTCGTTGTCAAAATGTGGTTCTCGCCTTAGCGCCGCGTTCGCCAATATCCCGGACCCCCATGGTTCGCGAACCAGAAATAACGTTTGGAGCAATTCCAGACTGTCAGGGCGCAGCGGTAACGTTAATTCGCCGCGTCGAAGTCCCTGGACATGTTTTCTGGCACGTCCCCGCCAAGACGCAACAATCATGTTGATGCGTGGCGTCGGAGCGCCGAACGGTGTTCTGGCGCGCTTCAGGATCTTTGACCGGTTGTTCCCCAACGGGGCACTCCTTTCATTAGAAATGAATCCTTGTATGGAGCATATCAAGAGGGAATTTGGAGAGAGGGTTTAATACAACATCGATGGTGGGCTTTAGGTTTACACTGGTCCTCCTTCTCCTCCTACCCCTCCTCTTCCTTCTTCTTCGCCCATGCTCCCCCCTTCCTCCCCCCCTCCCCTCCCATCCCGCCATCCTCCTCCTCGTCCTCTCGCTTCCTCCACCCACTGCTCCTCCTCATTATGCTGCTATGTTCTGTCCTGTTCCAGTTGGTACCGTTGTCGCTGCCAGCAGCACTGAGGACGCCACTTCATATGAGAATTATCGCTGTCGCTGCGGCTCGACTTGGCCTTCAGCTGGCCCACAAGCGTCTTAAGCATGCCCTGCGCGCGACCAAACGTTGCTGGGAGTTCCTGATCGTTCCATCGGTCTCCCCAGACTACCTGCGCAAAGTTACGGCACACAAAAACGCAACTCATCACTGCTGGCAACAAGGTTCCTCACGCGTCGCTTCGCGAGGTGGAACAGCTCTGGTGCGGTTGGCTTGCGCATGGGCCCAATCACCCATCCTGTTAACTGCGCAGACCAACGCGAACAAAACCTCCCCTGCCGCTTCAAGGCGCACCAGGGAGGCTGACAGGGCTTGCGGAGACTCTGAATTCCAGCGCAAACAAAACCGCCTCACTTCGTGCACGTGGCGACCTTACAGCCTGCGTGCACCAGCAAGCCTTCTCCGTTCATAAAACCAGCTGCTCCGAGCGGGTGCCCCTGGAACTGGATGATCAACTCGAATTCGGGGTTGGCGTCGGCGAAGATGTCGCAGACTGGAAAACACGTGCGGGATCCGGTAACCCAGCAGAAATATCTGAGGCCCGCACGCTATCCTCATCTTAGCCACCTCATCTCCGAGCGAAAAAAAACATTCTCTGAGCTGCCGAGAAGCCCGGTTCACATCCTGGCCCCCAACCAACGGCGCAGCTCCCTGGAAAACCAAACGAGCGCACGATACTTCTGCGCGCCAAGACTGGCATCTGGATGGTAAGCGGCCCCTGACTTAGCATGCACTTCTGCGCCCGTCGCGCGCGCGTCTCACATTTCTGCGCGCGCGGACGTCGACGGCGCCAGCGCCGTCTTCAAACACATGCCACACGCGTTGCCAAATGCGCACGTGCGCATGCATGCTACTCGCCAACCGCGCACGATCACGAATGCACCCCGTCGCGCCCACGCAGTCGATGTGCCGACGAAATTCCCCGAACGCGCGCTCACATGCCACTATTGCTGCGTAGTCTTCCGGGTCTCGTGCCGGTAGCATCGGGGACGCATCTACGGGGGACGGCCCATGTGCCGCCGCAGTGAATCTGCCATGTTCATCGCACGTCTCCAGCGCCCACAGCGCCCATCTGAAGGGTCTGAAATGTGGACTCAGCGCAGAGCCATCATAGGAACTTCTTCCAGAAAGAAACCCAGGTGCTGGACGGCTCACCCGATGTATCCCAGCTTCCTGACACAGGGGGGCATTGGACACAACCCCCCTCGGGAAAGGCAACAAGCCGGCGGCAAACTTCCTGGCGC